CAAATCTGAATAAGAACAAACTTTATACATATATACATGGAAGTATTGTAATACACAATAACAGCAACAAATACCAAATTACCCTTTGCTTACCTTTTCTTATGGCCACCTCCAAAAGTGAGAATTTGATAAAAGATTTAGGTTACACATTCTCTCATCAAGCTCTGTATCCAAAAGTGAGAATTTGATAAAAGATTTAAAAAGTGGGAAAATATCAAGAATATAGAGGATAATACATTAAGAAAAAAAATTACTCACACAGAGCAAGTTTCAACCTTCTTCCCCAACAATGTTTCAAAGCAAAAAGCTCATATATATCGATCTCTGCTAAAAGGATATCTATTGCTTGATGATCTTTCTGCAAATTGAAGTACAAAATATATTAGGCATATGATAATAAGGAGAGAATTATATTTTTGTTTTCGTTTTTTATTTTTAATGCTCCTTTCACTGCTGTAATCCAACACATAACAGGATAAGTAAATAAATAAAAACTAACAGAGATTAATGTTCTCTAAAATGAAGAACATGATATTTGATAAAAGAGAGAGTTAATTCAAAATTGATGGATGTTTACCTTTAAAAAAGGAAAAAAGACCATGAAATATGTATATTCCTGATAGCAGAGAAGGCAGTGACAGTGAAAATCTTCATTTATCATGACAGATAACCATCCCCCAATCCTTCTACCCACTTATATACTCTATTGCAACAAACAAAATATATAAAGAATTACCCAAAATGCCCCTCCCATTAATAAGCCCTTTATTCATAGGATTTTCCCATAATACCCTTATCTAAGATATGTGGCAAGCTTTTTTGGTTAACTCATCAAGTAATTATGTCCAAATTAAGTCAAAAGGAAACAACTGTATGTAGCTTTCTGGATTAAGTACTTAACCCATTAAGCCTATTAAGATAAAAAAAGAAACAAAGTAAAACTAATAAAATATCATATTATTTTCCATTCAGATTCTATATATATATATATATATATATATATATATATATATATATATATCATTTCACTTTCAAAACTTCAAGTTTTTAAAAAAATAAAAAATGCCAGTTTACAAAACTAAGCAATTTTAAGTTTAATAAAATATGGGAATACAAATCATCAAACTCACATCTGGACTTGTATGGCAATGATTCTTCTCCATTATGTATTCCATGTATCCCATCAAAAACCACACTAGGAGAACTTGTATAGATAAGCCTCTTCACATTAAGTTTAGTACAAGCATCAATTATGTTCTTAGTACTTGTAAATCCAAAAACAAAAGTTAATACTGTCTTAGAAATTAACTAACTATGTTTATTATCTTTCTTTTTACCTGTAATTATTATTATTAAATAATAATTAAAACTTAGGATGTGAACAATAATATATATATATATATATATATATATATATATATATATATATATATATATATATATATCCACGGGACTTCTGTTAGCTAATATTAGTTCATTCACTTAAGCCCTGTTTTTATTTTCGCATCAAGTGCTATCTGGATAAAGATGTTCAAAAATATTTGAAAAAAATGACAGCACACTTACGGAAGAAGAAGGAAAAAATAAATAAGGCAAACTTGTAAAAGATTAGGATATGTCTTCATGGAAAAAGCCTGGCATTCTCCATTAAGTCGTTCTTTACACATTAACACCCATATATAACTTATCATACTAAGTCCATTCTTGATTAAGTCTATTAAGTCAAAAACAAACAACACGTCATTCAATTTCTGAAAAAATGCATTAGCACTTTTTCAGAGGCTTGTCTTTGACATGTATAAATACATATACTCATTAGAATTTTCACAAAATAATATTTCTCATTACCCAATATAAAGATGATTATATAGGGTTACTTCCAAGAAAGCCCTTACATTTTATCATGTTTTATTTATTTATTTTTTGTTTTAAAAAGACAATTTTTTTCTTAATTTAAACCTGTAACTATGAGGAAACTTGTTAATTTTTAGGATTTTTTACTCATTGAACCGGCCGAGATGCTGACCTGATTAATTCCAAGAAAGGCCTTAACAAAGACAAAGTTATTTAGAAAAAGACAAAGTTATAACAACCCATAACTTTGTGTATTTCTTATAAAACATGTCAAAGTGTAAGAGCTTTCTTGGAATTAACCCTTTTATAATCCACGTCAAGATCTCAAGCAGTTGAATGGGTAAAAAATCCTTAAAAGAACAAATTTCTTCAGAGTTGCAGACTAAAATGAAGAAAAAATTGTGCCTTTTTCATAAACATGTCAAAATGTAAGGCCTTTCTAGTACTTAAACCTTTTTTGTATTTGAATGAACTGTTTTTGTCGCAACCATATAATCTCAGTGGGTGGTTAAGTGCTAGTAATCCGGTTATGCTTTTAAAAAATGAGACATACGGGACCCACCTGTGAATTTAAAGTATATTTCTCTAGCTTGTCTGAGAGAACTTCAAGTACCCCAGCTTCCACTACAATACGCCTGTTTCCCTCACCTCCATCATGGATGTCACTTCTGTTAGCCAAACCCCTTGGAGTTCTAACATCAACTTCAAGAGGGTAACAACCTGAACTTTGTTTTATGATATCTACTAATGCATATATAACAGTTTTTTTTTACCCTGAAGCATCAAGTGCTTCCATGGTTTCCTTTCTGTGCTCCTTCAAACCACAAATGAGCAGTGAAATTCCCCCAACTCTCACTATATGAATACCTTGAAGAATCAAACCCAAGAGAAATAGCTTGATAGTTCTGAGTACAACCATGTGGGAATACTACCACTAAAATCTGTGAAATAGTCTGCACAAAGAGAAAAAGTATGCACGTAAATGATTAAAGCTGGAATATTTTCTTACTGCAATCAAGCTAGTATAGTTCATGAGTTCATCTGTGTCAAGGACTTTAGTCCTAAAGGCAACGCCTTCCAAGGACATGGGAACAAGTTTGACTTCAACAGGACGTAAGAAAGCCATTTTTTCAGACACCTGAACACAAAAGGTAGTGTGGTATTAGAAGAAAAAAGAATGATGTCATTGAACGTGAGTTTCTTATACCTTCTGCCAGTCAACAAAGTCAATGAGTTCAGGGTTCATGGTTTCTTTTGCAGCTATTTGAAGTATTTTTCCCCATCTTGTTTCTCAAACCTGCATGATCAAAAGGGGAATTCTTGAATGGAATCAAAAATTAATTAACTATAACAATTATTTAACTATAACTAAACTTTTATTATACTTCAAATGATTACAAAACAAGTAAGCAACAAGACCGAGAAAAATGTTTCAAAAAAAAAACTTGAAAATTATATGGCATGGGACAGGGGCATTTTAGGCATGAGAGAGAGCTTGATGATTTCCCAAATGCCCCTGATTCTCTTTACTTGATGATTTCCCAAATGCCCCTGATTCTCTTTACTGTGAACATATAATTCGATAACTTATAATTCAAAACAAACCAATTAGCATAAAGAGAGAGCTTACCGGTGGAGTACTTACATTTAACATAGAACAAAGATTTCAAGCAAATAGATTTAAAAAAAAAAAAGATTCAAATCATATCCCAACATCAGATTTCAGCATGAGATTTTAGCAAATATATTTCAGCAAGTATGTTTGTTTCAACAGTTCATTAGTAAACATTTCAACACAAAAAATTAAAGGCAGCAAAAAGAATTCAACTAGGATGTTTTATCTCAAGATGAAAATTCCAGCAGAGCAACATAACATCGACCAGCATAAAAACGATTCAATCAGACAAGTATCTGTTGCATCAAGAAAATATAATTATTCAAAATCAACAACCAATCACTTTCTGTTGAAGCATATATACACACAATTCGGAAACAAATCAGTCAAACCTATATACATTTAGTCCATAGCTCCAAGTCTAGAATCTTTTTATTTGGATTTTTCATGTTGGGGAAAAGGAATACCTGTAAACAACCCATTTCATATCAATACAGATCATTGACCTAGGATTTCATTGTAGATGGTGAGGCTTAAAGACAAAACAAGTGTTATTAGTGTCCTCAAAGAAATTTTCTTTAACCCTATTAGAGGAATCCACGAACATCATGGAGCTTCTATCATTACCATTTGGAACAAATTGGAACTTTCCAGTAGTTGGAGATGGTTGAACCTACAACAGAAAGGATCATTTAGTATAGTAAATTACTAATATACCCATAGTTTATCTAGTGAGCTTACCAATGAGTTGGAAAGGAAAACAGGTGATTCCAGAAAAGAAGTTGGGCTAACACCAGGTGAAAATAAATATGGAGATTGTTGAGTTTGTGAATTATCAGAAGATTTTATAATCTCTGTATTCAACCTAGGAGCATTATGACCAGCTCTAGCTGCCATTCTTTCAACAAGAGGTGCCCTTGAGCTCGTTTTTTGATCACCAAACTCACTTGATTTTGTCGCATCGCCATTTTCAGACCCGATTTGGGGATTTGGTCCAGCGAAAGTGAACCCGGTGTCGTTATTGGTATCGTTTTTTGGAGGGTCGGGTACTGATCTTGAACCAGGATCATCCCCCAACACAGCTGCAAAAAAAGACCTAGGGCTAGGGCTCGGAGGCATCCAATCGCCAATTATCCCACCATGATCGTCAAAACCACCCATGAAAATCGACAGCTTTCTTCCTTGATTATCTGTTCAATGGTTTGTTAGTTTTTCAGACTTTGAAATTTCACACAAAATCGAAACAGTGATGATGGTGTTTTATGTACGAAATCGTAGTGTTTTGGTCGTGTTTTTTTGGAATCGTCAAGCTTTAAACAGTAATGATAGTGTTTTTATGTACGAATTAATCGATTGCGAAATAACAACAACAAATAAATGTACAGATTTAATTTCCGCTTTTGGTAAAACGATAAACCAAAAAAACATTTGAATCGTCTACCGATTGAAGTGGGTAGACCACAATAATAGAAGATAATATAGTTTTTCTACAATGGGAATCGAAAATCGATGATATTCAAACATTCGCTTTTCACATATTCTCGTGGATTAAGCCCAATTTTGCAATCCCGAACCAATAATCGATATCCAAAAACGATCTAGCTAAAGGGAATTCATTAAAACCAGAGATCTGAATGGGATTGCAAAATCCAACCAACTTCAAATCAAATCTATCATTTCTTTCACACGAACAATTAAGGGTATAAACTACAGAAACTAAAAATGGAAATCCAGTTGAAGAATCGATGGAATGATTGAAAAAACATGATTAAGGGTTGTGATACGAACCTGGAAAACAACACACAGACAGTCAAGGGTAAGCTGATAACAAAGGAGACCCTTTTGTCTCCTCTGATTAGTTGATTCTCTGTGATTAACAGGCCACAACGCAGAGCACACGTCTCTAGGTCCTAAAACATACCTTTGGCAAATTAGATCTAACTGATAGACCATGGGAAGGCAAGAATTTGGAGATGTGGAGGACATCGGTCGGCCGAGCAAGTCGACGACTGTTGTTGAGAAGTGTCGAGATAAAGATAAGGTCGGTCATGTAAACAAAAACATACCTTAATCGTACTTAGGGCTTGCAAATTTGAGCAGTCGTTGTAGTCTCTGGTGACGTGAGGTGAGCCCGAGGTCGCTGGTGGAAAGAGATGAGCCGAGGTCGCCGGTGGAAAGAGATGAGCCGAGGTCGCCGATAGGAGGTGAGGTGAGGGAGCGAACATTACAGAGAGCATTCCTTGAAAAAGCCCTAGATAATGGTCCCTGCAATGGCGGGGTCTTCAACTTTTCTAATTTTTTCGAACACGAGGTTTTAGATTTGGTCGACGCCATTAATGAGGAGACCTCGCATATCAATTACGATTCACCTTCGCTTTATCTTCTTGTTCTCCTCTTGATGATTTCAGACTCCGTCTCTACAACTTTACATGATATTTTTTAGAAAGGAGTCTTTGTGGAGCATCAGGGTTTTTCTTTATTTCATAACCCTCGCATGTACTGGGTTGAGAGAAAACGAGAGAAGCGGAAGCTTGGAAGAAAATAAAACCCTAGCACGTGCTAGAGAGAAGGGAGGTGGCGATGGCTTAGGGTTTACAGAGAGACGGGAGGTTGAGAATGAAAGGAGAACTAGAGGAGAGAGTATCAGAGAGGGGAGATTGGATTGCAAGGATGAAAGATAGATAGAAGAAAGAAAAAACGAGGCGGGTTTTCAAAATTTTGGAGATTCCGTTTCCCCCCTTGTCTACTAAAAGCGCGTTTCATTAAAATTATAAAGCAACAGCTACAGACGACGCACGTTTAAAATAAAGCGCCCTCCGTGTTTTTAATTTTTTTTTCTTGAGACACTAAATTAAGAGCACTCAAGAACGCGTGACGTAAATCCTTAAATTTTTTGGAGAGATGACACTATTTTAAGGGCACGTCCTTTTCCGTATCATTAATCAGTGCGTGTCGTAAAAAGCGCGTCATTAAAGGTCATTTTTCTAGTAGTGAGCAGTTGTGTAAATTGTATTCTCAAATTCGATTATGATTACGGCATCCCTCTTCGTAGTTCGAATTGTGATATTTGGCAATTAGCCTGAACATTTGGGACTTAGTAACATAAGTTATAAATTTGTTTAGACACACATGTAAGCTTTCTAAGGCAAAGGTGTATGAAGTTAAGAATCTTAGATAAAGGTTTATCAAAGCATCAGGTATTAGAAATATGAACTTGAGGAATTCAATAAGCATCGTATTCTGGAAGTTCCATTGTTTTCTGAATACATGTCAAAGCTAGTGAGAGCATAAGTGTTATGCCAATAAGGAAATAATCATCATGTTAGTGGGAGCATGATTATTATGGTAAGTATTACAAGTTAGAAATGTTAATTATAGAAAACAAGAGTTATACTTTGCAAAATCGTAAGGGTTGAAAAGTTGTTTTGCTATAATTAAGGGAGAGAATATTAAACTTCATTTCAAATCTAAATGCTTAGATTGTGGAATTATAATCAAATTTAGTCAAATATATATGAATGTTGTGTTGGAATAGTTCAACATGAGGAAATTCTATATATGGAAAGGATAATTGCATTCTCAAAATTTGGTTATGATTACGGCATCCCTTTTCATAATCAAAATTGTGAGAACATGGCAATTAGAAATATTGTAGCAAAAGACTGGTAAAGTATCACGTCTTTATGTAAGACATTATGAATCGTGTCCCATACGCTTCGGGTATAGGATCGATTTCATATACTATAATGTTTGATCGTTCTAAAACTTTCCAAATGCTTAGCACATTAAGAGGGAAAAGGGACAAGAACTGTTTTTGACTGAAATTATTAAACAACTATCAAAGGACGATCTAAGGTTTGCCAAGGATTTGTTGCTTGTGAGTAGTTGGAAGTATAGTGTTGGATGGACCATAGCGACATTATTATGAATAGATAAGATTCTATTAAGAATGAGTTGTCATATGGCAAATATGGAAATGTATCCACGTTGGGAATTGGATATTAAGAATTTTATGCATAGATTAGAAATTTTATGCAAAAAAGGATGTTCAAAGGAATGTGCTTTGAGATTGAGACATCACATCTATAGAATTGTTTTGTAACAATTTCTGATAGAGTACTTAGTAATTTTATTGGCTAAGTCTTTGTGACATTTGTGCTATGACTTTACGAAAGGATGGTTGCATAAAATGTTAGAATCTAACATATTTTAGTGGTGGCAAGAACCTTGTGTTCTTACACTAACAATGAGGATTAGGAATTGTGAAATGAGCATCATCGGAAAAGTTTTCATTTGATCTATTTCACGGACCATAGGAAACAAACTGTGCATGCTTGGAGCATGGGACAATTGTTATTGTAATTCAAGTAATGAGTTGATTATCCAAAACATTAAATGATAAATAATGAGTAATCAATATGGTGGTTAAATAGAAGTGTTTTATTTACTCTCACAAGTTTAAGGCCATATAGGATTAAGTATTATTGTTGTGTTTCAGTTTGCATGTTTTGACTTCCAGAATAACTAGGTTATTCGAACCTCCACAGTCGGTCATACTTTGCAAGTAGGTATGAAGCAAGACTGTCATGAAGAGTCTGTAGATTGTCTAAAGAGTTTAGACATAGCACAGGTTTACTGCAGAGTTCATGAGTGCTTTAATAAGATTAGAGTATTGGATTAACCCCACGATCACAAGAATCACTTCATGGATTTCATCACCAGTGATTTTGAGTCGATAATATGGCATCTTCTTGAAACCGACACGTGTGAGTTGTTATTTGCTCGTCGGTTGCACATTGATGATAAGTAAACGCACCAATAACTTGGTGTTATAAAACTTATTATTGTGTGTGATTCGATGAGTTAGTACAAGCGAGCATTTGAGTCAAAGTTTGTCCATTCCTTTTACCCAAAGTAGGATAAAAGCGATGTCTATGGTCCCCTCGATGATTTAGTAATGACACCTCAGTGCTTAGCTAAGCCGAGACTAAGTTGATGTGTTCAATTGTGGTCTGTTGTTAGTCGTCATAAATTGGAAGTCGGGAAACAGTATAGAGAGAATGATTGATATTCGTGTCTTGTGTCTATACGATATCTTTAGAATGGAGGCATATATGATCCCTTATCTAAATATATGATAAGATCAGAGTTGACAACGGCTTTTGAAAGCTACGATTGCTGAACAGGTTCTGAAGTTATACAAAATAGTAATTATACTTATCCAAGTGGGAGACTGTTGGATTAGTGTCTAAGTCCATAACTATTTTGGTATGTACTTGACCCGATTATGAGCATGGTCCTTTTGGGTTGCCTTCCCCATAGCAATATGTAGGATGAATTAAGGAGAGAAAGGTTTACTTATGATTTATTAATATATTATGAGAATAATATATTAAAGGAGAAATTATATTGTTTAAATAATATTAGTCAAGAATTAATTAAAAATTAATTTTGTGGCTAAAAGTGATTAATTAAACTTAGGGGACTGGAATTGTAATTATAAGATAATTACAATTGGGCTATGGATCACTTTGGAATAATAGGTTGGACAAATTCTATGGGGAAGCCCATTAGAAATCATCCAAGGCATGTTTCAGAAGGGGTCCATGGGCTGCTTAGGGCTTAAGCAGTCAAATTAGGGTTTCGTTGTTTGATAACCCTGATAACCTAAGTATATAAGGAACCCTTGGGCACCAGAAACGTGGATAACACTTCCTTTAGGTTTTCCAGTTGGTTTTTGGTGCCTTCCTTCTCTTCCATCTTCATCCAAGTTGCTTAGTGGTGTTTGTGACTCCATTAGAGGTGCAGCACTTGAGGCACTAAGCTTTCTGAAGCCAAGGATTGATTGTTATTGCTATATAACAATGAAAGGTTAAATCTAAACCCTATTTTATGTTAATATGATTAATTGTATGCTAGATCTTGGGTTTATGGATTTGGATAATCAATTGCATGTTCATTAGAAAACTAGATTCAAATTTATTAGGGTTTTCATGTACACCATAGGAATGATGTATTGCTCGAAACCCATCAAATACTACCGCTCCCAACTCCAGATCGTGTATGGGATATCTCGTCTCATGCGGCTTCAGCTGCCATGATGCATAGGCTATCACCTGTCCTCTCTACATAAGGACTACTCCCAATTCGGTGATTGATGCATCACAGAATACCATGAAATCCTCTACTCCCTCAGGAAGTGTCAAAAATGGCGCCTCGCAGAGTCTCAAATACAGACTGCTGCTCAGGGCCACACCGGAAATCCACCCCTTCCTCATCAGATGAGTGAGGGGTACCACAATCTTGGAGAAATGTTGTATGAATCTCCAGTAGTACCCTGCCAATGTTAAAAAGCTCCGGATATCCGAGGGAGATTTTGGAACCTCCACTGCATAACCGCCTCGATCTTCGCTGGGTCGACCAAAATCTTGTCCTGGTCAATGAGGTGTCCAAGGAACTGAACCTCTAGTAACCAAAACTTGCACTTCAAGAGCTTAGCATACAATCCTCTCGCCTCAAAACTCCCAATAGCTCAGGGAGATGCTCATCATGCTACTCTCTAGTATTGGAATACACCAAGATGTCATCTAAAAACACAATGACTGAGCGATCGAGCATCTGTCTGCATACCCGATTCATCAGGTCCATAAACACTACCGGTGCGTTGGTGAGCTCAAACGGCATCACTACTAACTCGTAATGTCCATAAGGAGTCTGAAATGCGGTCTTCCCCATGTCCTCCACCCTAACCCTGACTTGATGGTACCTGGATCTCAGGTCTATCTTGGAGAACCTGTAACAACCCAAAAATCCTGGCAGTCCTTCCACTAGCTGGCTCACCACCAGAGTTGGGACCAAATCCTGATCCCACTCATGCGTGCTCATCCTCATTATGCAAAGCAACTATTCTCACGATTAAGGCATAACCAAGAATTCTTCTTCCCATAAGCTTCTCATATTCTCCAAGACTCTCACTGATTCGAGTACGGATCTTGTCCTTTCAGTAGTGTGGGCCCAATACTACCTTTTACACCTATCCCTACTTTCCTTAGCAATCCTCCTGAATCCTACCAGTCGCTTACTCCACCGGTACACTAAATGTATGGTAAATAGCAAGACATCTCCACCGTAGCCCCCTAGGTTTCCAACTTCACCGAACTACCCCACGAAGCTCACTAGGGCATATCCTAGGCTTTCCTACGTTCCCCACCTCACCCGAACATCA